AGTACAGGTATTTCTGTTAGGTGTAAGGAGTAAAAGTGTTGTCCGAAAAATAAATAGTGGAGTAAAGTAAAGTAACACAAATATTTGTACTTTACTGCTTCCGTGCTCTGCACATATCAGAATACAGTTCTATTTCCTTTTTCAGGTTTGTATAGTTTAGGTTTTTCAAAATGCATGTTGCTTCCTAAAAATCACTTTGTCCTTAATTGCTATCAGGTGTGCCATACAGTTGCTTATTAGCAACGGAAGTTAGTACTAGGCAGTAGCAAGTAGATATAAATAATACATTACAATAATTAGAAATTAATTTGTTTGTTTATCATGACTACCTGCACACATACTGTACACACCAGTGTGTTTCATTAACAGCTGATCTATTGGAGGCTCTGATGTGAAAACATTGTATTTCCTTTTATTATTTTGTGCAAATGGAAAATATTCCTAAATAGGTAAAAGAGTCCATATTGGCCTTTAATGCAGAATATGCATGCATTATTGAGCATGTTTGGTGTTATGTTATCAACACTCTTTTTAAATACAGAGAGATAGTGTGAATCACACCACTCACCCTGGATTGAGCACTAAAGTGCCACAGACCAGCTGATATTGTCAGTTGTATCACTGGCTAACAGAGAGCTCAATATACTGCAGTCTTCTGCATGTTTAGCATACATTAAGAACAAAAGTTGAATTTGTCTCAAGGCTAAAAGCATTCCCATAAATGTGATCATCACCTGCAAACATTTGACCATGGGGCTCTCTGAAAGGAAGAAGACTCGCAGGGTTTACAGTAGGTCATTTGTTAATTGCTGTGAGAGGGAACGAAACTATCCCCAGGGTTTATTTAATTAGTGCTAGGCCTGAGGAGAGGAGCAGCACTACTCTGGCATCAGGGGGGTTCTCTTCTTTGGACCAACAGGCAGTATTTACAGGCTCAATCAGAACAGAGACCTTCCAGACGAAAAATTAGATTTCAAAGGCAATACAGTCGTTTTTGTAATGAAGCTGGAAACTTTACAAAAAAAGCAAGACTCGTATACATTTTTAAATGTTCTAACAGAAAAACCCCAACCTCAGGTGTCCGTCTATTTGTACTGTTTTCATATATTCATTCATTGTCACATACTCATCTGTTTAATCTAACAGACTGCTATTTTGTATTTTTATTAATGTGCCTTTATTTTTATTTTGTGCACGTATGTATACATATATGTTTATATTTGTTATATATTTGAATCTTTGGGATGGTAAGAAATGGTATTTTGGTCTCCCTGTTTGTACGTTGACTTGAACCTTTGACTAAACACTCTCACCCTGAATAAATGAAGGTGCACTGCCTGACTGATGCTGGAGGACAAGTCCAAGAGACAACATACTGCTGGAGGACAGACCAACAGGACGGAGCGTCACTGTGGAGGAAGAGCACGATGAGTGACTGTCAGAGGGGACAGGTAGGAACACACAGGAAGGTCGGCCATCCACTCGCTTCATGCCACAGAATAAAAGAATAAAGGCTGTTCCTTGTCGAGTCTAGAGAGCCAGCGTTTGAAGCCAAGAACCTTTGAGTTATTTCCCATTGTCAAGTTTATTTGGTTCTATGTTTTTGCAGTTTGCTTTTGCTACGTTTTGCCTTTCAAAAGATGATATTTGTTGATGTACTTGGTTTTCTTCTTTCAGTAAAGACTCATAGATTTTTTTTTTAACACTTTATTTTTTGAAAGTTTTCATTATACAGACAAATCATACAGCATATAATTGAGCAGTCAAATACATGCTGTAGATGCAACAGTGCACATTTCAACCAGACTGCCAAAAAGCTGATCAACTAAAACCCCCACCCCCACCCCAGCAAGAAAGGAAAAAAAAACAGTAAATGATATAAGTATACACATTCTCATAATAGACACAATAAAAAAATAAAAAAATAGACGAAGCAAACAACAAACAAAAAGACAAAATATATGCAACACCTACAATATTGCTTTAGAAATGGTTGTAGCCGGGTTCCGGTGACGTCATCGCCCTGAATGGCAGCCTAAGATAGCAGCTCCTCCAAAGTAATATTTAATTAGCCTCGTAAGGTCGTCAAATAAAACAAACTTCGAGGATAAGTGACTTGGCAGTGGGGCAAGAATGGGAAGAAGGGATGGAACCAATAAAAAAAGCCGATGGACAACCTGTAAATGAAGAAAACACGGATAACGGCTCACCTACGCAGGTACAAGATGGCGAAGCTAGCGCTAGCTCAGTGGGCTTAGCCAAAGTTTTGGAGGAGATACAGGACTTTCGCAAGGACACAAAACAACAACTAAACGATATTAAGGTTGAGCTTACCAACGTTAGTACATAAATAGTGGAGGCAGAGACACAAATTGAAAATAGAGCAAAAGAAAAGGGGGGGTGGGCTCTACCTTCCCTTAAAGAGTATTACTGGGCAGCACAGCTGAGGCCTATGGTATGCTGGTGCAATCCATCGTATGATGCTCAATGGAAAGACATGGAAGAGAAAATATTATCCATTCCCATACAAGCAATCATAGCTGACAGCGACCTACAGGGCAACATAAATAATATTGAAAATCCATGGGTAAAACTGACTCTTAAAGTATGGAAAGCAGTCATAACTGAGTATAAATTAGAGGAACATATTACAATTCTGAAATGGTGTGCATATGACACCGACTTTACTCCTAATAAATGAGACACTAGATTCAAGGATTGGACAGCCTAAGGAATAACGGCTCTTTGCAACATAATTAAAGAGGCAACACTGTTTAGTTTTGAAATGCTTAAAGAGAAATTCCTATTAGAAAAACCAGACTTCTATCGATACTTACAGATGCGGCATTATGTTAACAAAAAGGTTATAACTATAACAGAGTCAAGGACAGGTGTGATAGAACTATACAGATAGCAAAGTTATTTCATGTATGTATAAAGGGCTGCTAAATCATATATGTGAAATCCAAGTGGGAGAAGGAAGGAGGGGTTATCATATCTGAGGAGGAATGGACAGCAATATGGAAATATCAGTGGAAATGTACCAGTTCACATAACTGGAGGGAGTTTGGTTGGATAAGATATTTGATAACACCCTCTCAGAAGCCTCACTATGGTGGGAACTCCCAAGACTGCTGGAGAACATGTGGAAATTAAACCATTATCATGTTTTCTGGACTGCCCTGTTATTGAGGTCTTTTGGAGAGAGATACATAATGCCTTACAAGATATTTTCAAATGTCATGTGCCCATGGAGAGTAAGATTTAGTTTTTTGGACTCATACCTCAAGAATGGATAAAAAAAGACAAATATTTATTAAATCTGTTGCTTGTGGCGAGTAAAAAAGCTCTTGCAAGGAAGTGGTTATCACCTGATAGCCCAACTGTAAACGCATGGATGGATATTACAATGGACATTTACAAAATGGAGAGGATAACATCTTCTGTCACAAACTGGAACTAGTGGCACGATGGAGAAAGTGGACTAATTTTGTAAAACCTCATAGGCCAGATTTTATTTTTACAAACATATGATTTTACTGTGAAGTCCTGATCACTCCCTAATGTTCATATTGTTCGTACTTTTTACTGTTTTTATTTTATCCTTGTGAAAAAAAAGAAAAAGGCATTTCGGACAGACGAATTGAAGATGTACAATTACTATGTCTTGAAAAAACACTGTGTAATTGGTTGCTGTCAAATGTCAATAAAAAAAAAATAGATTTCAGCAACACTCAAATCTATACTTAATCATCTTCAAAGTGTTAAATCCAGCTTGCATTTCTCTACGTGATCAATGGCTGCCAGGCCTTATATCATCTATCAGTAGATCCCTTCAGAGTGGACCGGGTTTTCTCTAGTTGCAAAAACCATAGTTACGTCTGTAACTACGGTTCTATGAGTCCCGGATGACCGCCAGAGGCGGTGCTTTTAGCACTGGATATGTCCATCGTGCGCATGCGCAGTACGAGTACCAATATCAACAAAGTCACCTGTGACCCACGTGACACCGGCTATATCAGCCAGTGTCATCAGAGGATCTGTTCCCAGAATCTTCTCGCGAGCACACAAGAATTCTGAGTGACAGGAAACTCTGGCGGTCATCCGGGACTCATAGAACCGTAGTTACAGACGTGACTATCGTTCTATTTCGTCCCTACTGACCGCCAGAGGCGGTGCTTTTAGCACTGGATGACTTATACCAACCATGTCATGAAGAAACCAAATACTCACCTAGCTGGAAGCAGCGGAGCTTGGCAACAGGACCGCGCCCAAAGGATGGGGAGTGGCGACATTGACCCGGTAGAACCTGGAGAATGTGCCAGAAGACGCCCAAGACGCCGCGGCGCAGATGGTCTCCAGGGGCACTCCTCTCAGGGCAGCCCAAGACGTTGAGACGCTCCTTGTAGAGTGGCATCTCACCCCTGATGGCAGGGGGCGGCCACTGGCCCCATAGGCATGTGCGATTGTATCAACAACCCAGTGGGACAGCCGCTGCTTGGAGAGAGCACAACCCTTCCTAATGCCGCCATGGCAAACGAAGAGCTGCTCTGACTGCCGTACACAGGCCGTAGCATCGACATATGCTCTCAGGGCACGCACAGGGCACAGCAACTCGGGCGTGCGGCTCTCCTGTGGGACGTTAAAGCGTGCCAGCTGGATAGGCCGATTGGAGTGGGCAAGTGGAAGCACCTTGGGCAGGAACGCCACATTCGGCCAGAGGGCAACACCCGAGCCATCGGAGTTCCACCTCAGGCATGTATCGCTCACGGAGAGGGCATGCAACTCCCCAACTCGCTTCCCTGAGGTTATGGCAAGCAGAAATGCTGCCTTCAAGGACAGCCACTTAAGCCCCATCTGGGCCAGGGGCTCGAAGGGAGGAGATGATAGGGCATCTAGCACTAGGGGCAGGTCCCAAGCCGGAGCCCTCGGGGTACTAGGGGGCCCCACTAAGGCCCCTCTCAGGAAGAGGGACACCGACCTGTGGCGCCCCACCGTGGCGCCGTCGACCCCGACATGTTGGGCAGAGATAGCAGCCGTATATACCTTCAAAGTGGAGTGAGAACGTCCACTATCCAGAAGGGACTGCAGGAACTCCAGAATGGTGGCCACAGAGCAATGCCCCGGATTCTCAGCCTTACCCAAACACCAGTGGGAGAAGAGCTTCCATTTGCACTCGTACTGTGCTCGAGTGGATGGTGCTCTGGCATTCAGGATAGTTTCCCTGACCGATGCCGAAAAAGCACTCAACAGTGGGTTGGGCCCCGCAGAGGCCAAGCCCAGAGCTGGAGGCGGTGAGGGTCGGGATGCCAGATCTGACCCCTGAGCTGTGACAGAAGGTCCTTCCTGTCGGGGAGGCGCCATGGTGGGCCGCAGCAGAGACTGCGTAGCAGCGGGAACCAAACTCTCCCCGGCCAGCGGGGGGCGACCAGAAGGAGCCTGTGCCCCTGAGTAAGGACCCTCTGAAGCGTCTGTAATAACAGCGGCTGCGGCGGGAAGGCGTACAGGAGACTGTCTGGCCAGTCGTGTGCCAGAGCGTCCTGCCCCATTGGGCTGGTCACCTCTGCCCAGGAGAACCAGAGGGGGCAGTGCCTCGACTCCTCCGAGGCAAAGAGGTCCACCTCGGCCCTGCCGAAAAGGCTCCAGATTGTCTCCACCACTTCTGGGTGAAGCCTCCACTCCCCTGGTGGAGGTTTGTGCCGAGAGAGGAAATCTGCCACCTGATTTTGGTCCCCTGGTAGAAAGACTGCCCGCAGGCTGGCCAAGCGGGGAGACGCCCAAGACAAGAGGCTCTGTGAAACCCGGAGCAGCTGTGCGGACCTGGTGCCCCCCTGGTGGTTGATCTGGGAAACCGCGGACATGTTGTCCGAACGAACAAGCACATGCCTGTCCGTCAGTTGGGGTAAGAAGTGCCTGAGCGCAAGCAGCACAGCGCGAAGCTCTAGCACGTTGATGTGATATGCACCTTCCTGGGCGGACCACAGACCCTGAACAGTCCTGCCCTGCCACACCGCACCCCACCCTGAGAGACATGCATCTACAGTGACAGTCTCCCGGCGGGATGGGATGGCGCCCATGGGCGCTCCCATCAGAAGATAGGCCCTGTTTCTCCAGCGTGACAGAGAGTGAAGGCACTGGCGCGACACCCTGACCCTCCTGTGCCTGTGCCACTTGGCGTCCAAGTGAAGGCTGTTCAGCCATATCTGCATAGGGCGCAGCGACAGCAGACCTAAGGGCACAACGGCTGAGGCAGCCGTCAGTCTGCCCAAGAGCCGGAGGAACTGAATGTAAGGCACATTCTTGCCCAGCCTGAAGATGGGGAGAAGGTGGGAAATGTCGTCCACACGACGAGGTGTTAGGCAGGCCCTCATGGCGACCGAATCTAGGACCAACCCCAGGTAAGTGACCTGTTGGGAGGGGACCAGGCAGCTCTTCCCGGTGTTTACTGTCAGGCCCAACCGGGCTACGTGACATAAGAGGCGCGCCGTATCCTGGGCCACTTGGGACCGGGACGGCGCACAAACCAGCCAGTCGTCTAGGTACGGCAGGACCTTCATGCCCTGTGCCTGCAGGGGTGCGAGAGCTGCCACCACGACCCTGGTAAACACCCTTGGAGAGAGGGAGAGACCGAAGGGAAGTACCCGGAACTGATAATGCTGGTCCTGAAAGGCAAACCTCAGGAACTTCCGGTGGTGGGACGCAATCGGCACGTGGAAGTAGGCGTCCCTCAAGTCCACGGTTGTGAACCACTCCCCCTGTGTGACAACACGGAGGGTGTCTGCTGTGGTCAGCATGTGGAAGGGCAGCACCCTCAGGAATCTGTTGATTCCTCTGAGGTCCAGTACTGGACGAAATCCGCCGACTTTCTTGCTCACCAGAAAGTACGCCGAGTAGAATCCCCCGGACTGAAGCAGGGGGTCCACTGGCTCGATTGCGCCCTTGGCCAAGAGGACGGACAGCTCTTGGGGCCAGAGCTAAGGCCTTCGCGGGGTCGCTGACAACTGTCATCTTGACCCGGCCGAAGGCTAGGGGCCGGCGTCGAAACTGCAATTCGTATCCCTGGGTTAGGGTGGAAACCACCCAAGGGTCGGTAGTACAGGCAGCCCAGTAGCTGAGCTGCTGCTGGGAAAAGCAGCCGACGACCGGCCCAGGGACTTCAGGGCCTAGCCCCCCGACCCCTTGGGGGGCGGCGGTAAGGCTGTGGGGCACGGGGCTGCCTAGCAGGCTGGCGACCGGGGGCACGAAAGTCATTAGGAGGCGGTTGAGTAGACCGCTGGGACCTCCGCAGACCACCACTGAAAGCCAGTGGCAGAGTGCGGCTGCTAGAGGGGCCCCTGGGCCTGCTGGGAGTAGGCACAGGCCTACGTAGACCCGAGAGCTGCTGCCTGGTCTGTCTAGCTTGGGCAGCACGCTCTAGTGCCGCCAGGGCAGCTGCTCCAAACAGCTCCCCTGGTTCGACCGGCACGCCGCGGAGGACACTCCTACATGTCTCCGTTAGTGGTGACTGAGCCAACCAAAAGGCCTGCAGTGAAGCGTCACTGAGGCCCAGCAAAGAAGGCTCAGCCGGAGCCTGCTGCAGAGCGGCGGAGGCGGCCAGCATTAGATGGGAGAGAGAGTTCCCGATACGACCCATGCGTGCCGCTGCGTCATAGGCCTTACAGAGCAGTTCATCAGTGACCCTGCACTGAGGCAGAGGGCACCTGGCATCAGGCCTTAGGGCCTCATCAGGAGCCAGAATCAGGGAGGCGATGGCAGGCTCGATGGGTGGCATGCGACCCAGCCCCACCCTCGCCGGATCCTGCATGGCAGCCAGGGTCCGGGCATCAGAGCTGAAGCGGGAGAGGGTCTTGGTGTCTCTCCAGCATGCATGGAGCTCCCTCAGGTACTCCTCCGAAGGAGGAACAGTGAGGGGGACAGGGGTAGGGCTACGCCTGAAGAAGGCGCTAGCCTGAGCCGCGTCGGCCTGCGGAACAGGAAGCTGCAAGTGTGCCAGGGCCGCACGAATAATGGCCGCCATGGAGGCGTCCTCCACGCCCTGCAGAGAGCCCTGAGCAGAGGAGTGGGAAGCCTCCCCGGAAGTGAGCGGGGCCTCGTCCTCCACCTCTTCGTTGAAGAGGTTAGCCAAGGCCGCTAGTGACATGGCATCCTCATGCAGAGGTGCGGCAACCGAAGGAGGGGCAGGCGGCAAGCCAGCAGCCCCTATACCGGCCCCTGGTTGAAGGGCTAAGAGGAGCGACTTCATCATGTCCATGTCGGCGGCTAACCGATCCACCTTAGAGGACAGCCTGTTGGGGGGCGAACCCGTAGCCATCGCGCCCTCGGGTCGCCGGGAACGGCCAAACTGACCTGGGGGAAGATGCGACAAGGAGAGGTGTCCGTTGGCTGCTGCCAGACACTCCACCTCTGCGACTCTGGCCGCTCTAAGCGCCCACGGCATGCAGCTACAGTTCATGCAGGCGTCCTGCATGAGACCCTCCCTCAAATGCTCGAGACCAAGACAAGAGGGGCAGCGGTCGTGGCCATCCTCGGGCTCGAGAGAAGCCATACAGGCGCTACATGGATGAGCCATCATGTAGGTAGCCGGATGCAGCGTAACCGGGAGCGGGGTGCGAGAACACAGCCTTCACCAGTTACCTGCTGAACGGAAGGAGTAGAGCCCTGCTCCTACTCGCCGAACACGAGAGGGGTGTAATGTCCTACACCCGCGTTACTTAGCAGAGGGAGCGGGGAGCGAGAGCACTGCCTTCACCTAGCTAAGTAAATGAAAGTGCAAAGCTACTAGCAGAGGGAGCGGGGAGCGAGAGCACTGCCTTCACCTAGCTGAGTAAACGAAGCACGGAGCTACCAGCAGAGGGAGTGGGGAGCGAGAGCACTGCCTTCACCTAGCTGAGTAAACGAAGCACGGAGCTACCAGCAGAGGGAGCGGGGAGCGAGAGCACTGTCTTCACCTAGCTAAGTAAACGAAGCACAGAGCTACCAAATAAGGAAGCTTAACAGGGCAGCTAGCCAGCCGGCTGCTGCTCACAGTCAAGGAACACTCTTACCAGGAGCGGGGGTGAAAACACTGCCTTCACTGGTTGAGTAAAATAGCGAAACAAGCTAAGGAAACTGCTTCTAAAGAAAAACCAGCACGGGTAATCCGGTGCTTACCTCAAGCGTCAGCCAAAGTGGCTGACCAGGCAGGACACAGTTAGGCTGAGCCGCGCTACTGCTAACTAGCTAAACAAGAGGACACAACAAAAGCTGGAACTCAGGATGCTAATGATAGCTTGGCGCAACGCCGCGCTATCAGAAAAGTACAGAGAGCGCAACAAGGGCAACTCCTGGGAGAGGGGGCGGAAACGCTACCGTCACCAGAAAGTTCAAGCCAGGTAGCAACCAAGACAGAAATCAGGACAACCTAGCTGGGAGAGGGAGTGGAAACACTGCCGTCACCGACCAAGCCGACACCAACCTGTCCGTTGAAGTTTTCTGCGCAGCCGGCCGCAGCTCCTGGAGGACGGGTAATCCCGCGGCTCCGACTGGATCAGTCGCGAAGCTACACGCAGCCAGCTGGATGCAGAGAAATCCTTAAATCCAAACGTTCCAACTGAACGCTATAGGCTACAATAGTGTAGCCACGGTACTCTCGCGCAGCGAGAAGATGAAAGGAACAGATCCTCTGATGACACTGGCTGATATAGCCGGTGTCACGTGGGTCACAGGTGACTTTGTTGATATTGGTACTCGTACTGCGCATGCGCACGATGGACATATCCAGTGCTAAAAGCACCGCCTCTGGCGGTCAGTAGGGACGAAATAGAACTGCCACATATCTCTAATATCTCCAGTGAGTATGGGTGGGTGGTGAATCATCCTTCCATTTAAGAAAAATTAGTCATCAAGCTGACTCAGATTGTTTTACTTTGTCTTGAGTCGTGCATTTAATCTTAAGTATTTATGTCACTTTCCTAATAATTCTGAAATGACATTTAGGGGTTGCTGGTTGCTAACAGATCAATCCTGTTGAGACTAACAATCAGCTTTGAGAATTTCCGTTTGACTCCTATGTAAAAAAAAACAACCTCATCTACTCTTTACTGATTTGTGTAAAGTCAGACAATTTGTACTTATTTTGTCCTATGGGTAAGAATTAGTCAAATGTGCACAGATCCTATAAAGCAGGGGTCTCAAACTCAAGGCCCGGGGGCCAAATCCGGCCCGCGACTTCATTTTATGTGGCCCCACAAGAGCTTGCAAAGAATATAATACGTTTATTATACGGTTACATGCCACTTTACAGAAGCAGGTTGCCCATAAACTACATGTCCCACAATGCATCTCGTTTTGTGACATGTGCAATGAGGAGACTTGCAATTATTTGCTGTAGACTTCTGCTTTCAGACGTAGTTAATTACTAAGTTATTATCCTATCTGATAATAATCCAATTCAGAGGCAATAATGTAATATAATACATTATTTTATATATATAGTATATATTTATATAGTTACAACCGGCCCTTTGAGTGCAACCTTTATGCGAATGTGGCCCGCGATGAAATTGAGTTTGACACCCCTGCTATAAAGGGTTGGGTCAATTTACCCACTGGCTCATTTTAGCCCAATCAAAACTAAAACGTGGCATTAAAGCAGAAATTAGTCAATGTTTCCATTCTTTGCTCTCAATTTTCAAATGAAAGTTTTTATTTATTTTTGGGTGATTAAAAAGCATTATTAATGAAAGTGTTTTTTTTAACATTGATATGGATGAATTAGAATCAGTCTTTAATCAAATCAAAGTTTATTTATATATCACAAAACACGTTTGTTTCAGTGGGCTTTACAGATGAACACATTTAGATGACAGTGTAAAGGATGATTGAAATTTCAAGAAAATAAGGAAAAACATGATGGAACGTGAAATACAAATAAAATAGATACAAATAAATGAGATAAAATACAACAAAAAGGCAGTGAAAAAACAATAAAATAAAATACTATAAAATGTAGGACAAACAGGGTAATCTGAAACCAGCTCTAACTCTAGGCTTTATTAAACAGGAAGGTCTTCAACCCACTCTTATAATGTTGGACACTGTCTGCCTCCCTTTAATATCTATTATAATAATAATAATGTCTTTCATTTTTGTAAAGCACTTTAAATTGCCTTGTGTTGAAAGGTGCTATATAAATAAACTTGACTTGTCTTGCCTTGCCTATAATGGAAGGAAATACGAGATTAAGTCGCAGGTTGACAGAAAATGTGATTTACCATGGCCTTGAGGCAACACAAAAGTAAACTACAGCTAACATAAAGAAAAGAACATCGTATAGTATTTCAATAACCTGCAATATGGGAAAGCCAGCGCTCCAGAGAAGAAACCTTGAAGCAGACAATGCACAGGTTTCAATGGAGAGCACCAGATGTGTCTGCTATTGATACAGCCAATAACACCCTGAAGCCTCCCTGGTACAACATGTTCCCAGAGATCCTTGAAGCAGAGCATATATGTTACAGTCCACTCTATGTGTCTGACCGGGTCATGAGTCCAAGTGAGTGGAGGTTAAACGTACAGATGCACATTGCACTCCATTCCCCATCCACTGCACAGCAGGACTACTTAACACTCAGTATGTGGACCTGCTGATGGGTGTGTGTGTGTGTGTGTGTGTGTGTGTGTGTGTGTGTGTGTGTGTGTGTGTGTGTGTGTGTGTGTGTGTGTGTGTGTGTGTGTGTGTGTGTGTGTGTGTGTGTGTGTGTTGTATGAGAATGAGAATGAGAATGAGAATGAGAATGAGAATGAGAATGAGAATGAGAATGAGAATGAGAATGAGAAGCAGAAGCATATCAATGGATGTTTGGAGGTGGAATGAGTTATAGTACGGGACCATGTGATAATGTTTGTTTACACCCCGGCCTGTTGACGCATCACACATTCTGCACCGCAGCATCATGAGAGCTCACTCCTACCAACGGTTCCCATTGATCTTGTATTAATAGGGATAAACACATTGATTCATGTCATGTACTGCCAGATATGTGTTCAGCATCATTTTGACTCATGCAGATTAGTTTGCCATTCCAGAGTTGACTTTTCAAGGGCTGCCACTATCTATGTTTCATATTGTCCTCTATGCTTTAAATTAAATGAAATTACAAATAATTCTGTGTAGAGAACATGGTGAATTATATTGTACATTTGTACATGGAACACTGCTCTCAGCACACAGCCTGCTAAGACTCAAGGAGGGAAGTAAAGGATGGGTCGGAGACAAAATGCTCAATTTAGCAGAGTTTGGGCCGTCCTGGAACCCCCACTGAACGAGCTTGGGGCTCAGCTCCAAACTCACCCCAGCTAGTTAAAGTGAACAGGCGTTTCCATCCTGCTGCCCGATTGGAACAACTTTGGTTTAACATTTAAAATATATTAAAAGTAGAAATTTAGATATTCATCTTTTTTTTTTGTAACCCTGTCTCATGCTAATTACTCAAATGGTGCAGTGATTCATTTATATTAGTAACCATTGCCACAACTTATTGATTTGTATTGATTTTCTTGGCTATCATAACCTGTATGTTTTTGAACAATTCAGAGAGTACAACATCATTTGTGTTTGCATGCATTTTTAGATGAAGAATACTCTGTTGCTGATTATGGATGGCAATTCAAGTGACACGGAGCACTTGAAGAAGAAGAGGAGAGGATGATGATGATGAGGAGGACTTGACTCCTAATGCAAAGCTTAATGAGGGAAGCTCAGATAGAGGAGAGGAGGAAAGTGAAGACCAGGTAAGCCAACACAGTCTCACGGCATTTCGTGTTATAGTCACGAAATTAATCTATTGATTCGTGTTCACCAACACGATTTTGCAATTTTTTTCGTGTCACACAGAACGATTTTAAAAGCAATGTAAATAATAACAAATTAGAAGGAAAAACAGATAAAAAAAAATACAGATTTCAGTATTCTGACACAGAACGATTTTAGAAGCAATGTATTTCTATTGGTAGTATGTTTCGTGCCTGCACCAAATAATAACAAATTAGAAGGAAAAAGAGATGACAAAAAATACAGATGTCAGTATTTATTTTCCTCACGGACGGCAAAAAAACTCAGACATTATACAATTTAAAATAAAAGGGATAGGGTTAGGCTTAGGGTAAGATATTGAGTAAGACAATGTTTATATGAACCACACAGCTTTTGGTATTCCAAGACCCGACCGGACAAATAGACGTGGTGCAGGCACGAAACATACTACCAATAGAAATACATTGCTTTTAAAATCGTTCTGTGTGACACGAAAAAAATGCAAAAATCATGTTGGTGAACACGAATCAATAGATTAAATTAATTTCGTGACTATTACACGAAATGTCGTGAGACTGGGTTGGGTAAGCACATAGTTGAGGACAGAAGTTGAGGGCCCAACATTAATAAAAGGCTAAACTCTAGTGCAGGGCTCTCCAACACGTCGATCGCGAGCTACCGGTAGCTCGCGGGCAGCTTTTCAGTAGCTCGCCGCTCGATTATCGATTATAGCGTAGTAAGGTTGCTTATTGATTTTTCGGCCGCGGCTGGACCAT